TGTATGCAGTAATTATCAATTGAGTCTGGTTTTAAGTCTAGCTTTTTTATAGAACCAATAAAAAATTTAACATTAATTAGGTTTTAGCATTCCTTTTCATAAGTACATTTCTAAATATATCATTTTTTAGTGTACTCATATGCATTTTCTCAATTAAAAAAAAAAATCGGATTTGAATTGCTTTTTTTTAGCATTTTTGTAGTTTTGCACGTATATGTAAAACGAATTAATGTCATAAAAGTAGGTGCAGACTTGCAAATAATACTATTTTTTTTGTTTCCTCGTACAATGAATTGTTATTCAAATAAAAAAAAAGAATATCGCAAAAACATATTTTATTTTATTCCGAAATTGAGTATACACAATTAAATACCTTAAAGGTACCTCATAATATTATATAATATACGGGTGTGCAGGTAAGTGGTTTAGTGGTTATTAGTTTATTACTTATTAATATAATTTTAAGTTTTTAAACTTTATAGTTATATTAATATAGGTATTGTGTTTTATTAGTTTTTTTTAAATATAAACAAGGTATTTAAAATTTAGAAATACATAATTTAGGTACCTGTTATCGATTTTTGAATGTTGTTAAAACAATTGGTTTTAAATTTTAATAAATTCGTTTTAGATGTGGGTACAAAATGAAAGTTAAGTTGTGTTATAATATGCATATACCCGAGTACCATCTACCTATATAATAAATGTTTCATTCTACATGAGGAGTCATTATTAAAGAATTTTTGCTTGAAGGACAAATGGCCAATGCTATACTAAGAAGTTATGAATGACTGTTAGGACTACTTTAAGACGGTGGGGATTCAGTTTTTTATCAACAGCAAATAAAATTTGGTATTTGTCGTACAAAATTGCTAAATTGCAAATCTTGCATGCAGTTTATGATAGGTATATACTATACCCATATCACAGTAGTTTCAAACTCTAATTACCAACTGGCGATTTATTAAAATACGTCAAAGCGGCTCGTGGGCAAACAACTTTTGTTTCTCATCTAAATACTAAATTCAAAATAAACAAAATAAATGAAAACATTTATTGCTTCAATTGATTATAATTTTAATGTTATAACTATTTAATACTAGGTATTACAAAGTTGTACTTATACCTATACTGATTTTTGTTTAATAATTATTTGCAGCTTGGGTATTGTTTTGGTATTGGTTTTGCAAACTTAATCTTGGTCTTGTGGTATGAGAGCCTTGCGATATCGCAGAACCAAGACCAATTTTGACCATCAATAACTTCGATTTTCTTGAGCAGCATCTTTTCTTGTAGGAAAGTGAATATAGTTGGTACTTTTGGGGGTCAGAAGTAAAAAATTCCCAATAGTTTTAAAATATGGCAGGTAAAACAATCAAAAAATTAAGGAAAAACGTTAATTTTTACAGAAACCCTGTTTTTGACAAAATCAATTTTGGTTTTTGGTGTAACTAAAAAAAAATACCTTAAATACATGTCATTTTCACTGAATGTTCATACTCTCAAATTCTATACGCCATACAATTTTCAAAATATTTTGATTCTGGTTGAACTATTTATAATCATATGCAATTTTAGATTAATATTAGTTTTTTTTAAATAATGTCTTTAAAAAACTTGAAAATATAGTAAAAGGTAAATTATGTTGTTAATGGAGATTAAAGAAAAGTTCAGCATAAATCCACAGTTATTTTTTATGAGCGTTTGAATTTAGAATTTTAACAAAATTCGTAAAAATCACGAAAAACTACAAATTATTGTGTAGTTAAAAATGTATAAAATGTTCGTCTTTTACAGGTAAAGATTGAAAATTTAAAACAAGGTTCCACGTAAGTAATTTCTGTAATCAAAAAATATATGGACAAATTTTTTTGGTTGTAGTCCTTATAAGTTCAAATTTGGATTAAATTACATATTAAATAATCAAGATAAACGATTTTAGTTATAAATTGTTGTCGTTTTAAAATATTATTCATGGGTACCTACTTGAAAATTCTAAAGTATATTATTACATAAATATATCATAATATATAATAATACTAATTCAACCTACCGTCTATCGTGTTAATAATAATTGATAACCAGGGCCGTCTCGAAGGGGGGTTCTAGGGGGTTCCCCCCTCAAGCGTCCAATATGTCTATGTCAGTTGGCACTCCAAATTGTAATTTTTTTTTACAGTTTTTATATAATTTTGTAAATACTACAAAGTACAAATATTTCATAATAATATTTAAGTACCTACCTAACAGTGTATATATTATATAATACTATGCTATAACAGAATACAAATTTGCCTGTACATTCGTATAATCATTGAATTATTTTAAATAATATTGTTGTGCGATGACGAATGTAATTTCTATTTATAAAAGTAATGGGAATATTTTATGTTGACTTGTCTCACCTAGACACCGACTTAATGAAAAAATTCTAAAAATTGTTTCACGATTATTTTTTTTTTTTTTTTAATCGTTTATGACATCAACTACGAGGTTATTAGCCGAAGGTACTGTAGGGTTTGGAACTGTATAGGGTTTTTGGAACTGTAGGGTTTGGAACACGTGTGTGGTTTCACGATTATATTATATAGTCAGTATTGACAATATTTACTATTTAATTAATATCGTTAATCGTTATTGAAAATATTGTATTCCAATATACTAGTCAAGTGTGATGAAAAAATATGCATAAAAATAGTAAAATTGAGAACATAATGAAATATTTTATATTTTATAATATCGTGTAAAATATGTCTACTGATAACTATGCATGTAGGTAGGAGATAGTTGCCGAGCGATGAGAGAAAATGTTTTCTGAGTTAGCACATTAATTCATCTCATCCCCCTTCGTTCGGGACGCCTCTGTTGATAACGAATATAAACATAATAGAAAATATCCTAGGCCGACAAACCGTTTCCGCTCAGAATCGTTTTTCATATAGGTATACAACGGTATTATATCATTGAATTCAAATATAACACTATCCATTACAGTGACCCACCTGTAACCTACTACATAGCAGAATGTCACTCACTTACCCGCTTTTTTATTTTGTTTCTGTGGCTACACCAAACTGCACACACTGCAGTATCATAATCAGATAATACATTTGTTGATTAAAATGATATGTTTGAAGTTTTTGAACGATATAATTTTAAATTCAATGTGACAATATCTACCATTTGGAATGAAGCACACAGGCACGGTTAATCTATATTAACTGTGACACACAGGTATATCTTAGGTTTCGGTGCTTTTGTACGATACTATTTTATTTTTGTGATCCTATTTTTGCACTTTTGTCTCCCACCGGTTTCTGTTATCTCTTTTTAGTGAAAATTGTATTTTTTTTACTATTTAAATTAATATTATGAAGATAACTGTGCTTCACTGAGAAAAACTCTTGTGGAGGCCCAGAGAAAATACTTTAATTTCGTACTTAAGCATCCAATCTGGCAAGGAAAGTGAATCTAGTTGGTACTTCGAGGGGTCAAAAGAAAACAATTTTAGATAGTTTTCAAAAGCGTCGGGAGAAACCAATATAAAATTAAGAAAAAATATGGATTTTTAGGCAAAAATTTGTTTTTAACTAAATGTATTTAATTTTTTTGGTGGAATTCGAAAACTAATAATCGTGGTTTTTCTTTTCATAGTCAACATTTAAAAATGTATTACAAGGTTCCTCATAAGTTTTTTTACCTTGACCAAAAAAAGGCTACTTACCGGAAAGTAAAATTTAATTTTTATGAGTGTTTAAATAAAAATTATTGAAATTTGAGATAATTTCTCATCAAATGATTTCCTTATTTTCTTGTAGGTACTTAATTGAAAAAGAAAAAGAAATTCGTTTAAACCAATCCAACAATTTATTTGGAAATATTTTTGGAAACACTGTTGAAATGTTTTTACAATTTTTGGTCTCTAATACTTCGAAAATATTAACCAAAATTGTTAATTACGGTTGTGCATAAACAACTCTCAAACTTACAAAACATATTTTTTAAATTATTAATCGTATGATGTTAAAATTATATTCATATTTAATTAAACCAAACAAGAAGGGGATCTTATATATGATGGAATACAAGGGGGTTTTAAATGTGTTTCAATATAACAAGCACAAAAACATATATTAAATTTAAATTCTTATATATTTTATATGCATTATTATATTACACGATTGCACCTGCAGAGTTACATATATGGGTACTCTATTGAGTCTACCAAATTTATTAAAACCATTAATTTTGCAATATTACGCAACTCAATGAAATAATTAAAACAAATACATTGCAACCATAAAAAATGGATTAGAGGAGGAAGGCGGTGGTGGTTATATCGGAATATCGGATGGCTCCGAATAATCGGATGAAATTATGGTTTTATTCGTTAATTTGTCCATTGTCGTCGTATATTAAATTATAATTTATAATATAATATAGGTAAGTACGTTATACTAACTGCACTAAGTCCGCACAGTCCCATATCTTTGACTATATCCGACTTAATATATCGTATGCGGTATGCTTGTTGAATAATTTAGGCCATATAAGACCGTAGTCTCTATATATAATATATATATAGCCTGACTGCAGTAGCTTATACCTAGGCCGTAGCACTCTTTTGTATACATTTACGTGTATAGTTATTTTTTTCCGAATAAAGTGACCATCACCTGTAAAGTGTATATACTACTAATAATAAGCTTACCCATCATGATTAAATATATGTACCATCAGTTTTTAATTTTTTAAATTTATTAAGTTTTTACTTTTTTTGATGATATTATAGGTGCATTTAATTTCTTATTTATTGTACCACACATAGTTGCTTAGAATATTAAACTGCCTGCTCTAATTTTAAATACTCATAACGTCATATATTTAAGTTATAGCTTACTAACTATTAGATTGAAGTTGTAAATTATATATTATATTAATATAATTATTGGACGAATATTATGCTACAAAATATAAACTTAAGAATATATGCTGCTGTTTTCAAAAATGAAAAAAAATTGTTTTTTGTAAATTTTGGTGTGTAGAGACATAACGCTAAGAAACCTAAGAAGTGGCCAAGGATCGCGGAAGTATTTATAATGGATGTGTTGAATTATACTTAATGATAAATCAGTGAGTACGAAAAAGGCGATCTTGCCAGTGACCAATTAAATAATGCTACTTTTATTACCATTTTTACATTTATATTGAAAATTAATCCTAATAAGTAGGAATTCAAAATACATTTTATCCACTACTATCTTCGATTTGCTACAATAGAAAGTTGAATATTTAAGAATTTTTTACTACCTACATATATTAAGGGGTTTGCACATGCAAAAAATCAAAAGAAATAAATTTATAAAAACCACTTCGTAGTAAAACTAATACATTCGTCGGTCCTCGCAAAATCTAATATATTGTCAAAAACTGTTACACTTAATGAGTATTAACTGTTAAAAAAATCACCCAATATATTACACTATACACACATACCTCAGTAGCAGGTATATAATTTCTAAATAATTGCATCACAAGAAATAATTATGATTATTGAAGTATAATTGGCCAATGACGAATTGAAAATAAAAAACTCAAACCATAAGGATTTTTTTTCACTGTTATCTTTGTGTATATTGTTAATCAAAATTGAATGATTGGTCATCTTATTTGATCCACAAATGACCTAATCATTCATTATTCATAATATCACAGTCTACTTATGTGTGTACGTGTTGCAGTTTATATATTATATATTGACTGTATATTATATCATTTATAGATACAGAAATCATATTAGTACCGTGTGTAGTAAATATACATACGCTTATAATTTTTTTAATTTTGTTTTTAAGGCTTCAACTAGTTCTACATTTAACTGTTTAATGTGATTAGTCGACAATAATTGTGCACGAGTGAATAAAATTGAAATATTAATTTACAATTTACAAGTAATTATACTTATACATAAGTAGCTTACAGTAGTTATAACTATTTAAAATGTAGATAATGTATCAAGTAAGTATTATAGTTATAGATACAAAGGGATTTATTTTGGTAAGTATTTAGTGGCTCGATCTTGTGGCTCGAGTTGAGTGCTTTATTGTTCAATTTATAACCCATAATCATTGGCGGCTGGTGCAAATCACGTGCTAGGCATACGCTGTATTTATAATTTTCAGCACCCCGAACCTTGTGATTATCTTAAATAATAATCACCGTATGACAGATTATTGGTACCTACAAGCCGAGCGTAACGATGATAGTAAAACTCGATAGTTGATGATGGTGGCTAATATCATAATATGATAGTTAAAAGATACCGTCACAATGTTTGATATGCGTGTATTCATTATTGTATATATTATCTTATGTATCTATACATTAATAAATTATGTATTTATAGTTGTTACTTGTTATATAATATAAACTTGATAATCCGTAGGTACCTAATTTATACTTAAATAGTTGTGTAAACGTTGGTGAAAGTAGTCATTTGAATTTAGAGGAAAAGTGGGCTTGGAAGTCTCACCCAAAAAAATTTTTTTTACACAAATTACCTTTTTTGGGACATTAAAATTTTTTAAAAATATTTATTTTTTATTCATGGTTTTTTCCATACCTATGCAATGCTATGCCCAGTTTGATTAATAGTTACAATTTCGGTGTATCCTGGATTTTTTTGACTTATGTTTTCAACCCGATGGTCAACAAATAATATATTACTTTATTAGTATATGGACGTAGATGGTGTTAGCGTGTCATCGTTGTACATTAACTATGCCTATCTAGTATAATCTTTGTCGGATCTTTCAATAACTATTCTTAATAAATTATTTGGAAGAATTTTATTATTTATAGATTTTTGTTTCGGAGATGCTGCAGCCCAGTACCCTGCACGACCATTTACGAGTAATGAGCTACTATAGCGTATGTATGAATACTGAACAATATAATACATTGGAAGTATAATAATACATCACAACAGCCGCACCAGCTCACTATAAAGGTATATATATATATATAGGTAGTATAATATACTCACAGTTGCACTCACCGCATATAAATTATTTAATGTAGGTTGGATATAGAAATATTATTCACGTTTGATGGCGATCAGAACAAAAATAAATTTTAAGAGCAAAATTGTAGTTTACAACACAAGATTAAATTTCGAGTATCAACTGTAAATTGCAATACTTAATAACTTATTAGCAATAATCTTTGCAGCTATTTTATAGGTATACCGATTCCGTATGACTTTTGATAAATAATAATGCTAGTATAATAATAGATATTATAGTACACTTAATTTATATACATAAAATGCACTGCATTCGTA